AGTAACAGTCAACGCAAAATCTACCAAATCGCTCAAATTCGCCATTTAGAACCACAGAAACGACAATACACAGCAAGTGAGGTAGGTTTACATTTATTTTGAGCCTTAACATAGACATTCCTTGATATAAGTTTACGATATTACGACTCTTCAATATTCACCCATACATTTCTTTATATTTCGAAGAAACGAGCAGACACGCCGCTTGTGTGGGCTCTCTGTGGTGCACGGTGACTCGATGGCGATTAGGGCGTCAAGCTAAAACACACCAAAACGGCCACAAATCGCGAGGAGAACAACACAGACTACTCTCTATGAAGGTAAGACTTTATTTCTTTGATTATTTCACACAACTTTACATTTACGGGGCTCAAAAGAAAGTTCAACAAAACCATTATACAAACTCTTTAATAATCCACTGTGAAAGGTTAAAGAGCCTGTGGCAGGGCTTGGGCCACCTGTGGTCCACCTGTGGTCCAACTAAACGACTATACAAACTCATTAATAATCTACTGTGAAAGAGCCTGTGACAGAGCTTGGGCCACCTGTGTTTAAACCAGCTTTAAGCTGAACTGGGGTGGCCTCTCTAAGTATCGTAAATACATACAATACATACAATACAAACGTACATATCGACTAGCAGGAAAGAGTGCGCCCGGAAATTGCGGCTCAGTAGATGCGTTGCGTGACGGTTTAAGCGCAGGTGGTAAACATAATATAGCATAAGATAACTGTATCGATTTGATATTTTTAAACGTGAAGCAAATATATTATGCGAATACGAAGACCTAAGACCGGAAGAACCATTACGAAAACAAGTTCAAAAGAGGGTTGGTATTACCTTTGTGGACAAAGATTATGTTCATGAGACACGAAAACGAAAATCCTTACGGAAATCTTGAATTTTGAAATTGGCACGTCTGTACTTCATTACGGAATATTTCAACAGTAGAGCCCCATGGAGCGTTCAATGGGACCACACTTGAAAGCGAAAACGAGATATAATCGAAGAGACATGACGTGCTTATGGCGATATACGATGAAGCAACAAGTTGTAAGTTGATAAATAACAATAACATCGATCAGCGGTTGTTAAACTTCCGGAGAGGAAAAATGTACTGTTGTTTGTACAACATTGGAATTCGACTAATTGATTTCAATAAAACTTTTGTTGCTGATAAAAAATTACAAATCTATGCGTTAATCAAAGTGTCACGCTACTCCTACAAGCGATTTATAAGTTTAGGGACCGGAAAAGCCCTTGAGAACTGTAACAATTCTTGAAAGCCACTTCAATATAAACGTCACTTGCACAACGATGTAGAACATCTGGGGAAAAAGTGTGCTGTAGAGGTACGTATAATGAATTTAAACATTTTGACTCTTAGGGATTATGAAAAACATATGGCTGGATTCGAAATCGATCTCACGAAACAAAGGGACATAGAGATTTGCCACTTGATTGATAGCGAGAATAGATTCTCCAAATAAACTTTGTGCGATTCTTGGAGTGAGTTGTAAACCTCGCTAAGGATCTCGATATAATCGTTAGTGAAGTATAGGAACCGCAGCATGATACACTTCGGGTCAGCGTGGTAGTAACGCTGTTTGTTTTTCCAATCTCCATGCAGAGGAAATTAGTACCGTTTGATGTGCGAAAACACCAGATCGAATGGTACTACTTTCTGTCTGTGAAGTCTTGCACCCCTTGCATGTCTTCGCATCAGAAGGCAGCAGGCAACATTCAATGGACGGTTAGAAGGGTTGGGGTCGTACAAAAACGTTTTGAAAATACAAGAAAAAAAAAGGGGGGCCACGCCCCCTCGGTCCCTCCCATAAATCCCCCTATGTCATTGTAAAGGTGTGTTGCATTGTTAGACGATTCTTCTGACTATATGACATTTGCTGTAGAATCATTTGTGTTAGAGGGTCGATAATGAAACTTGTTTTTAGACCCTTTCTTTCCGGCAACAGATTTATTCACAAACGCTTCTGCTAAAGCAGTTCGCGAGGCTTTTTTTTTTCTTTTTTTACCTTGGGCCTTGCAAATGTTTTCAAGGTGTTTGCCAAGCATTTCGTTTTTCTCCGCTACAGCAACGGAGTGCTTGCGAACTTTAATCGGCCTTGAAACTTAGGGCCTGATTACATGAGCCGGGCTGGCTCGGTTAGCCGGGCTGGGGTCAGTTTGCCGGGATCTCGGCACGTTTGTCAAACGCAACAAAAATCAACCGTCGCGATTACATGACAACCGCGCCGGCCCGGTAAGCCGAGATCCCGGTATCGCGGTACCGGGATCCCTGCTAACCGGGTTGAAATTTTCCCATATAATCGCGTTTAGCTGGGTCAGCTCGGCTCATTAAGCCAGCAAGAGTTCAGCGGGTAATACAATGCTCATGCGCAATGGTCTCAATTTCATGCGAACATGGCGGCCACGAAATTTAAGTGGACGATTTTGGAATGGTGGACGACCTTCTTCGCGCGCTCGGTGAATTCAAAGCTAATATTGAGTATCGCAACGTGGACTTCAATGCTGATAAAAACAAGCAATATGGAGCAGTGAGAAAGGCGATGGCGAGAGAGTATTCTTCTGGCGATGTTGATTTGTTTGGGCCAGAAGAAACTACTGCCATTCCCGAAGATGTTGAGGAGTCTCAGAGGAAAGAGTTGGTGGAAAAAGACAAGTCAGAGAAAGCACTGATCAAGAAAGGTTTTTCCAGGGTGATGGAAAAGATAAAAGAACTGCGGCAAAAATTTAGTAATGCTGTGACAATGGGATCTAGAAGTGGTTCTAGAAAGTTGGTAATGGAGTTCCATGATGTAATGCTAAAGAGACTGGGGAGGATCATGAAAAATCAAAGGTCGCTCCAGTCTCCCGCGGTTCATCACCCCAGTCATCAACTGGGCTGGCTCGCCCCATGTAATATCAGGCTGAATGTCATCTCGGCACACCAAAGCAGCCCGGCTAACGGGCCAGTCCGGCTCATGTAATCAGGCCCTAAGGGCCGACCACATGGCGAGTTTCAGCCCGGGCTGAAATTTCGGCTCGGCTAGCCGAGCTGAAAACTCC